GAAAATAATGGATCATACAAGAACACAAGATTTATGTGGAAAATGATGCGAAATTATTATACCAAAAAACTAAAATTGTTTTTAAAAGATTTGATACTCTCAATATAAATCTAAATAATTATTTCAAATTTCTAATGTGTACAACAATGATCTAATTGTTATTTGAGCATATAAAAAGCCTACACTTCGTAAAATATTTATAGGAGTCCAATTTTGGAGTTATGAATAAAGTAGAACACAAAAATCGAATCAGAATTCCAATTCTTCCCGAACAGGCAGCGCCTAGGAGCCACTGTCGGTGCATGGCACCCAGTCCCTTTTTCTTCTTTTGCCTCTGGCGCCTAGGCACCCCATTTTGGACCCAATACTTCCAAAACATTTTTACATTCATTTCAAAGTTCTTTCCCTTATTAAACGCTCAATACATGATGACATTTAATCCCTTATTAATCTGGATTTCCAAACCAAAATTACCTAAACTTCCTACATGAATCAAATTTTTAAATCACATGAAATTTAAGTCACAAACATAACAAATAGCATCAATGTTTTAGGAATTTTTTCATTCCGGAATTTTTGCTTCTCTACCAATCAAATGTCTTTTGCAGTTAGTTTGCCTATATGGTCAGTTTGCACGTAACAAACTTTGTTTGAATGGTGCTGTGCAAATGTGAGAGGGGATTAAAGAAGAAGTTGGGTTGAAAGAACTCGTGGTCGCTGGAATGTTTATTCACATTGGTCGCTAAAGATGGAAAGGGCGTGGGGGTGGTGGAGACTTGTCGGATGTGGGGAAGAAGATGAAATAGGGTTGGATGAGGTAGGTGGGTGGGGTGGGGTGGTAGATTTTAAATATTTGAAATTGTGGGAGGCACGTATAAAAATTTTGAGTATAATTTGCAAAAAAAATAAAAATTTTGGATATTGCAACTACAGTAATTTTTTTTGATTTTAGCATTTTTTTTTTTTTATTTTTAATGGTCATACTAACGGATCTTGACGTCAGGATGTATTTTGAACAAAAAAAAAAGTTTCAAACAGTGACATTTTCTACGATTTCCAACAGTTATGGGGTATATCGCACATCATCAAGTATGTAAGGAATTTTGTTATGAAGCCATCTTTGAAAGTATCTTCTTTAAAAAGTACATAAAAGTAGAGATATATTATTGAAAAAATTACCTTTTTTCATAAGCCGGCTCTTGCTAATACGATTGGTAAAAAGTTATTAATCGGCAATGGTGATAAATGGTTACCATCTATGTGGTAGTCTGTCACTGTCACATTATTTTATATAGTTTTTATTTATTAAACAATGTGATTATAATCTCACTATTGTACATACGATTACTGATGAATAATATTATTCAAATATCATGACACAAATTATACATTTTTATCGACCACCAAACCATCTGTCCTCTTAAGGACACTAGAGCACAATTAATCCAATATTTAAAAGCCTTAATGCCAAAAATTGTGTCCAACAAATTATATTTAATTAATAACTATATTATGGCCATTAATCATTATATATATATAGATATTTTCTTAAGATGTAAGGAAATCCGAACACTTGGTGAAGGCCTATTGGCCTTCTAGTTGTTTTCAAGTTCAAGCATTAAGCACCCAAATATTCTTTAAATCGGAATAATTGGCATCCTTGACTATAATCATCATTCGTGACTAGTAATATTGGGTAAAACTCGTACTTAGGATCAAATTTCAAGAAGTACTCAAAAAACTGTGACACCTTTAATTTAGCAATATATGGTGCAATTAGCATCATCAAGAGTCACATAAACATATGAAAGGATCCTTAATTCCAATCTCTAATATGCGATTGGAGCTTTTTTTTTTTTATAACCGTAAATGTCCAGGTCAGTTTACGCGCACCTCGACTAATCCTACGGGATCCTAAAATTTACGGCCAAGAACTCACCTCAGTGGCCCTGATAGAACTCGAACTAGTGACCACTAGGGAGTAACCACAAATGACGCAATTGGCGCTTACCGACAGAAAATGAATCAAATTAAGTAATCATTTTCATCATTTTATAATGACATTCTCGACCGCCCATATTTCCAACTAGGTGACTCCGGAAAACTAATTTTATACTGAAAATAACCTTTTCTAAGTTATTTTGTATGCGACAATGGTCATACCCAAAATGGGGTCTACTCTCTACCATAATTCTCCCTCACAATTGGTTCATAAAGGGAGGTTGTCCGAGGAATTATAAGCCTACAGCTCAATCAGAGTCGATACATATCTTCACCTTCATAGCACGTCTCTCCATTCAAACGAATTGAAATGCCTATAGTGTATGTCTAATCTACGAAGAGTTCGAAAAATTCCAACAGACATCATTGTCATGTCATATGATAACGATCTGCCAAAATCCCACTTAGAATACAAAATTCCAATTATTGATCTAATAAAATCCCAATTTGAATACAAAAATCCAAAAGTACAATAAATTCATAAAGGAAGATGGAATAATGTAGCCAGGCTGGAAGGTACCCCACATGAAGAGCATATAATTCTAGAGCTACATGCTAGATGGGGTAACAGGTACATATATATGCGATACTAGGACTTGACAGTATTATAGAAAAATATTTTTCTCCTTCAAGACTATCTAAGACCGTACAATCTAGCTTACCAAACGAGCTCATGATATTTTAATTTAGAACGTGATCACTTCGAACCAATTTTGGAGAACAGGTGGTCAACAATTGCTAGAAGTCTAACAGGAAAAACAGACAATGAAATGAAGAAGTACTAGAGGACTCATTTCAAGAAAAAAGGAGAAGCTTCTTCGGAAAATCCTGAAAAATGGCGAGCCCGACTTTTGAGAAGGGAGCGGTTTCAATTGCAACAGCAACAAAAACAAGAAGAAGATCAAATCAAAATGAAGAAAGTCGTATCATTTCTTGATGAGAGTGAAGATAGAGTGCCAACTCTAGCTCAAATGAAGCAAGAAATCCTATATCAGAACGCATCTCATGAGCTTGGCTTTCTATATTCTATGATCAATGGCTACGCAACCGGACCCGAGGCCTCAAATGAGGATATTTTATGGGATGGTCTGTGGAATTTGGATGATTTTCATGGAAAGATATCTAACCAGCATACTTTGGTTGCAGATTTCCATTGAACTCTTACCGACACCAATTTGAATAGTCTTTTAGTCTTCTGCTCAATACAATAGCACTACATCATAGAGAACCAGAGCTTTTCAAATTATGGCATGTTTGGAAAGGTTGATTAGAGTATTGAGGAAGAAAGAGTAGCTGAAATCGTGTCAGTTATATTGTCCGGTACACACTAATGCTGGGAACCAAATATCCAACTAAACTGTTTTAGCCCAATGCTGGGTACCAAATATCCAACTAAACTGTTTTAGCCCAGCTATACGCCAAGAAAATGGGAATAAATATATTTCAAGGTTAAATGTCATACAGCTCCTGGTGTTTTTGCTATACTCCATGAAGACAGGTCGTGCTACCTCTTCATGGGTTAAAGGTTAAAAAGCACTAATGTTAATTGGGCTGTTTCAGTAGTTGAACTCTGCGAAGTAGAAAGTAGGGAATTTTTTAATATTTATCTGAAAACAAACAGCAATGGTTTATAGCACAGCTTCTTCAAAATATTATGCAATTCTAACTATTGCACTATCATTTGTGTAGTTTAATGCTTCACATTTGTCAAAAATAAATTTCACATTTTTAATTTGTCGAGAATATCAACAGAATTTCAAATATGATTTGTTTCATTCAGTTAAATACAGGCAGACTTTTGGGCAGTACTCCCAACAGGATTTCAATTATTCAGACCTTAATTGAATTATATGTATCGGTGGCTGTGATCTCATCTACCTAACCTTCTCAACTAAAAATCTGATTTATTTTCAGGCAGGAAATAAAGTGTCGTGTGCAACACAATGTTTATCGGTGGTGTTCATATTTTTTAATCTCAGTCATCTTGTATATGTACTGTTTGTAAATTGAGATTCAAAGGAAAATACTATCTACAGACACTACAAATCAATTCTCTTCTAGGCATGAAATCATAGCACAGTAGATGGAGAAAGTTTCTGCATATCACTTATTCTTAGCTGACTTGTAGCGCTTAGATGATAAATATAACACCTACTATTCTTTTGCTGATATAATAACTATCAGAAACATCCTTATTTTTCTTTTACTGTATTCACAGTAAAAGATATCTAGAGAGCTAAAGACAATTCATGATAAAAGATATCTAGAGAGCTAAAGACAATTCATGACTTCGTACACATGAGCTTAGTTTACAGACATCTAAACTAAATTTTCAGCAAGTGCTGCTATAAACTAATGGAGTAAGAGTGATCATGTACAAGGCATGCATGACAAAACACCACCTAAACCAACCTTGAGTCGGAAAATAAAGAAATAATATATTGATGAAAGCATGATGTAACGCATATAAAAGAATCTGTCTAGAAGCGTACAAGTGGTGAACTCACTTTCAGAGTAGATGAAGTTCTGTATTCAGCACACAAAGTGCTCTTCTGAAGATGGTGCAATTGATTCCTCTGAGAAGAAACTCAGGAAGAATAGAGAACTATCGAGATGCTTCATACTGAGCAGAATTTCACAATCAGCTCCTGAAATTGTGGTAGAAAATTTGGCTGGTTCTCTCAGCTCCTTGTAGATTCAAACTATGTAACCATGTGATTAAAGCCAAAGATGGTCCATAGAAGTATTGTATTGCTTCCATTGTTCCAATGATTTCAAAAATGTGATCCAAAAGGTCAGGCTTAATTTGATGCAATCATAATTCCTTTTGAAGCAAGGACGAAAGACGCCAGCACCTATGTTCACATTTCACCTTCACAGCAAGCAAAGAACTGCAGTTCCAAGAATTGACATAGGAGTTCTGCACGATCTCATGCTTCCTTTATCTCACTAATGAACATCATAAGGTCATTTGTATTTACAGAAGAGGATTCTCACCTCTACATATCGGATTCTCTTTCCCGCCGATAAGAATATGCTGAATCAAACACCACTTTTCCTATCCTTCTATTTCTTCGACTCCTTTTATTTCTACCTCTCTTCCTAGCCTTTTCGGCTGCAGGAAGTGACATTGGCACGTAATCAATCCAACAAAGTGGCAGTAAAGCTGCAAGAAACTGCATCATAATTCCAAGAGGAAGGCTCGAGTAATCACCATATGTTATACCAAGAAAAGAAGCCAATCCAACCCCGAAAAACCCACTAATTATAGACGATAAACACAAGGCAGACGCTAAGAAAGACAATAGAGATCCTTCACAACCAGGTGGAGACAAATTTGCAAAAAGCACATAGAACGGCAAGAGCTTAAATTGTGCAACAGTTTCGGCCAAGCCTGAAAAGAAGAGAGCAAACACTTCATTCGGGATTCCCAGTTGAACGTTGATTTGTTTAACAAGTACCAGATCAAGAAGAAGGGAAAATGCATATAAGAACTGCACAATTCCAACTAATTTTCTCATGGGAAAACTTTTCCCCAGCCGATTATAGAGTAAAGTCAAAGAAAGAAGCATCAGCTGCCCAGTCACCCGTGACATTCCAATAACTGATGGATCAAGATTTAGAAATTGAGTTTGATAGCAAAAGATAGAACCTGATAGGATTGGGACCATCACGATAGAAGAAACAACCCAGAGAAGAGGATGCAATATTCTCTCTTCTTTAACCGCCATCATAAGATCGGAAAACGGTTTTCTGATACTTTCTGAGATTGATTCCCTCACAAGAGAATAATTCAAAGGTTGAGCTAAACCAAGGGACTCTTCTTTTGTTTTTAGAGAGATGGTGAGTTGAACTGTCAGCAAAGCTGCAAAGGCTAGGAACATGGATTTTGTTTGTTGGGTTTTCAATAAGAAAAATCCACCCAGTAAATTTCCTAAAACTCCACCCACTGCCAAGGCCATAAATGCATAAGACTGAAGTCCTAGAATCTTGTTTTTGTGGCCATACTCTGCAACAAGTGCATCTTTCGCAACTTCTGCAATAGATGCTCCGAGATTTGTAACAAGCACGCAAGCCACGAGAGCTGGAAGAGCTTCACTTGCAACTGGGATTACAGCCAATGAGCCCCAAGATAAAACCTGCAAAAGGACTGAAAAGCTTGATATATCAGGGTTATTTGTGTCATTAGATGGGCACAAATCTTAAGCAGTTATGTTAATCAAATTCAGAAGTCTGTTTGCAACTGAAGCATTTCCTTTTTCTGTTGAAAAATACTTTAGAATAAAGCAATTAACGGCATGAAATGTGTCATCACATATGACATTTCTGTATTTCTATTAAGCCGAGCCTACAGTACATTATAACTATTTTACTAAATAATTACAGAGGATTCCAGTATGATATATGTGGTCATCAAAGAAGATCACAGTCAAAGCATCAGATAGATACGGGTCCTGCTGTTTATCTATTTCCAGTTCTGCGACTTTGTACAATTGGTTTAACTTTATCGTGTTGGATTTAAGCATTGAAATGAACACAAAAAAAATGGATTTATGTTAAGGAATGAAGAGATAAAGGAGGCAATCAGTTTTGATCACTTCATATTGTCGCAGTTTTTTCTCATTATATACTGTCAAACGTAGAGAGAGAAACAAAATTGAAGCTAACATTAGAAATTTGTGAAAAAGTTTTGGATTAAGCTATTTGTACAATTTTGAATGAGAACATTGTTGACAATGTATGAGTTAGGCAAAAAATTGTTGATTACAAAAATAAATTGTCTTTCAAACTATCCAAGTTGTCCTCTAACATTGTACACCAAGTATGATTGAAAAGTTTTTACAAAGCAAAGATAACATTTGAAATTTGTTAAACTTTTATTAATCGAAACTAACATTAAAATCGTAAAGCCCAATGAAATCTGTAAATAGGAGAAAATGCAACAACATAATTCCCTTGAGAAAGATAAATTCGTGTAAACTCAAGCCCTCTAATTATATGCAAATAAAGGAAGAAGTTTAAATGCAATCCGAATTTGAAAACAAAACAAACAGATTAGGTTGACTTTCGAAAGGCTACTGAGGACTAACAAGCCAAAAGACCAGCAAAGATCAAACAATTTTCAGAAATAAAAATGTATTAAACAAGAGAGCTCATTCCAATCTCAAACATCACACAACAATAAATTTCAAACAATAGGCAAGTATGAAAATAGACAAATTATGAAGTTTTACCTCCAATTGAAACATAAGGGATCCTGTGAGCACCACCAATATAAAGAAAATCAGACAAGATCCCATATAAAGGTTTGGCCACCATAGGCAAGTTTCCAGAGTTCTGCACAAGCTGTAATGTTGAAGGTTGCATATTAAGATTGTGGGCCATGTGAAAATTAAGTGCCAACCAAGGGAAGCATCTGAAACCATTCACATAGTACCCACACCCACACAAAACCATCATTTGTTGATTTATAATCTGGAAAAATCCGTTCTTTTGATGTTTCTTGGGTTTATATTTGTTCTGATTTAAACGTTCATGTGATGGGTTAATGATAACGGGATTTATCAACTGAAATTTGGGACTTTTGCATTTGTTCATAGTGTTCTTGAGATTCAGATTCTGATGCCATGACCATAGACTACTGGATTTTAAGGGGCATAAAGATTGGTTTTGGGTTCTTGTATTGATTGGAAATAATGGGTTTGCACTAGAAATCAGTGCAGATATCATGATCTATTGCACAATTTGGAGTTCGAGAAGAGTTTTTCAGAAACAGCCCACTTATTTCCAACCTAAAAACTCTCAAGAAAATGTTTGTGAATCTTTCAGGCAAGAAGGAAGAATCTGTGCTAGATGGAATATATTTGATTAAGAGGAATCTAGTAGAGTCAGCGAAGAGTAATCTTTGATTTGTTCTTTTATTTTAGCACAAGGAAGAGAGAATTTTTTACTCCCTACAGAGTGTTGGAGAAGTTCCGGTTCATCAGTCATGGAGATCTTTTGTTTAGGGTTGCAGGCATCTGTCCTTATTGCACAGTTTCATGGGAGGGGGCCCAAATCACATAGAAAATAACAGCTTGCACTCTTCTTGTCAGGAACGAGTTGAGCAAAATTACCAATTTGAGCTACCAAATGCCGACTAAGATTAGGAAGGATAAAACGGTCCATTTGGAGCGAGAATTACCCTCCTAACTGAGTAAACAGGACAGGTCATTATTTTGAAATGGGTACGGAAACGTAGCCTCCGCCACATTACTCACCCATCTAAACTTAATTTCAAATTGAAACTTTTTATCAAATAAGAATAAAAGATTTATCATTATTTTTAAAGAAAAAATAAGTTGTTCTTAACAAACTGAAAATAATAATAATAATATTTACTGACTAGAGATATAAAAAAATAAAAGCAAAAAATAATATAAATAAAAAATAAACTAGGCGATAAATGGGGTAGGGGACCTATCTCGTCCCACGAACCCGCACCGTCCCGCTTCAACTGGGTATGAGAACCGGTGTTCCAAGAGGCGTAATGTGTGATAATATGTAGATGCCAATCTACGAGATAGGTGAGTTTAGGCGGAACATATGCGTAAAGATGCGTTTTCTTATTTTAATATTATTTAAATTTTTAATTAATCAAAAAATTATTTAATAATTAAAAACAATACATATCAAACACCTAAAACAAATTTATAGAAATTTTATACATTTTTTCAAAAAATTTCAACAAAAAGATAAGTTCCAAATATAAATCAACGTTTAAGTTTTAACTTAAAAGAATTATTTTTGAATGCGTTGAGATAATGAACTTTTGTTGTCGGTATCTTTTTTTACTACTGACTATTTTCTATCTCGAGTTTATATTCATTAGCTTCAACTATAGGGTTGATTTAGCTTACCTTCGACTTATAATCATACTAATAACTCTGAGTATTATAGTTTAATTAATAGATTATTCTTTATTGGGATCTACATTTGTTATTAAAAATCCTTTTTTTATATGAAATAAAGTTAGTCAGTTCAAAGTTTTGCTTATAAGTTAGGTACACTCTAACAAGCTCTAAGTCAATTCAAACTTAATTTAATATACATATAGATAGCCAAATTATACATAGAGAATGTCAATGTGGGTAGAAAAAAACACACCAGTAGTCAGAGAATGATAACATGTGACAACATGGTATGGGCAGTTTATTCTTAGTTTTGGTGCCATTTAAGGTTACATTGTGTTCTTCATGGTTAAAAAAAGTGTATTCTCAAGGTATCCTAGGTAGTGAGTATACAACTATAATAATAATTATAAGTAATAATATTTTGCATAATCATAAGTAACAATATTTTGTTTTGATATGTATGCATAGGTAAGTGTTCGGACTCTTATATAATATAATAAACGTTTTCGTACTAATTTTTCAAATCTAGTAGGACTAAAAACTATACAATAATCTCTGGATGAAAATGTACGATGAAGCATAAAATAACATATAACTATTGAAAAATAAAAAATAAACGTACCTATAATTTCTTGAATTTTAAGTAAAAATACACTTTCACACAAGTTAGAGTAGTTTGTACGGGGAAACAAAAAAAATAATAATAATAATAAATGTGTTATACTTTTGAAAGTGATGTACATCTAGAATCTTCCTTTTAAATTTAGACAATATAAGAAATTACTAGGGACTTGTTTGGGCCCAATTTTTTTCTAAAAATGCATTCTACAATAGTGGTATGATGGAGAATGTATAGTTAAAAAATAAGGATTTTTTTTATTTACATTTAATATTATTTTATTGAATAATGTGTGATTGAAATATGGTCAAATCACTGTTCAAAAATTTATTTTGATTGAAAAAATGAGGCTCAAACGAAGGTCGGATGGATTTGCCCTAAAAAGGCACGTATTGTTTGCACGTGATAGGATGTCAACGTGGTTACACATTTTTTCCTTTAATTAATAGCGTTAGAAAATTATAGTTGTCATATTTAGCCCATGTTTGACACTGTTTTTCCAAAAAAAAAAAATTATACTCATTTTCAACCGCACATTTTTACAATAAAATACTTTGCACGTAAATTCAAAAATTCTTCCTACTTTGTAACCACACATTTTCCAAAAAATAAGATGCAAATATTGGTGTCATGGCACGATGGGACCATGGCCTACAAGAGAGTCCATACATGTGAAAAATAAGAAAAGAAAATTTTAATGAAAAGAAAATACACAATAATAATTCGAGCCTAAACTTGCTCGAACCAGACCTTATGATCTACATGGGCCACACATAAATGTGAAGGGTTAGGTGTATAAACGGGCAAATCTACAATCAAGTCGACCCATACCAACCCGATTAACACAATTAATTCAAATGGAAATTACACCGAGCACTCTTGTAGTTTCATAATTCTAAACATACTTCCTCTTATTTTTATTTCCCAAATTTATGTAAAACATCCCCAAACTCCACTCCAGCACCACTGACACCTTCAACAACCACCACAAGCCGCTGCCGCAGCCAACAACAAAATACATTTTAGCTAGCTCCTACTTCACCACCAATACTGCCATTAATGTTACTTAGCAGCTACATGTTGTTAACACATCACCGCTTCCTTCTACTCCAATCACTTCCGCCACACGCAAGCCCAACTCCTCCAGCCATCTCTCTCTGCCACCAACATCCTCACCGCCACCACTAACTTTTAATACACCTACACCAACTTCTCCACTTGCTCCTCCCGCCTCAACCTTCGACTAACTCCCCCACCATCTGATTTCGGATCATCATAAATCAAATGCACTTCTTCACTGCCAACTTTATGGGAGTAGCAGGCACAGAGATGAAAGTCTACAAGTTTGGCGTGCGGCGGTTAGAGAGGTGGTGCATGTATGCGTGCATATGTTTTTGTTTTTGTGGTGGTTAGGATTTTCTGAATTACGCAGGGCGCCAAAGGAGGATTTATAAAGAAGATATTGTAGTAGTTGATAAATGAGAAATCAAACTAATTTCATTTAATCACTCCAACATGATCCATTCTGGCTCAAATTAGGCAAGACCCAAACTCCCTTTACACGTCTAATCAAGAACTCTGGTGACTGAGAAGATATAACCACTAAGAGAACATACTGCATAAAAGTATTCAGTACAATGCAACTTAAAGTTTCAAAATAGAAAGAAAGTACCAACAGTTCCTCGAATCTAATCTGAAAACACGATCTTGAAATCAAATTAGCTGAATAATTAAATAAGACTACTACAAGCAAGAGATGTACGCTTGCAGAAAATAAGACAGCTCCACTAATGTCCTCAACAATCTTCGGTCCATCACCCAGAAACTTTTGTTTCACCGAGGCGGCATGGTGAGGTCTACACAGGAAGCCATTAATTAAACCAAAAAGCAGTAGGCGAAACTAAATTGTTCCCACCAGCTGAATTGGAGAACTAACCTTGAACAAACTCTTTAAGCATTCTCGGGTTATATTGACCTAATATTGATGAAATAGATGACCAAAATTCTAGTCCAACCACAAAATATATCCAGAAATAGAGGCAATAAAGGTTTAACGAGGTGCCGCATATCAATGTGGCTTTGATCATGGGGTAAGGTCGAAATTCTTTTCCAACAATGAAAGAGCTTCAACAAGAGATGTCACTTTGTAATCTGGTTTGAATTCTGTGTTTTCATATTTAGGAGAATCGTACCTTCCAGTTTCATCAAGCAAGCATGTGAAAGCTCCTGCTCGTTTCCCACATGCCACCTGCAACAACCGTGAATAATGAAAAAATTAATTAAAAAAAACGAGAAGCCAGTGACCCGTGTAATGTAAACAATAGCATTTGTAGATATTGGACATGGAAAGTAGCAAGCACAGAGAAGTAAATTAAGCCCCTGTTGGACAACCATTAAAACAATTTTTTTTTTTCAAACTAATTAATAATTATCAAACATAAATTCTCACAATAAAATATTTTGCACATAATATTGCAAGTGTCAAGAAGTGATGATGAAGAGATGATACAGCTCGTGCAAGAGCAAAGAGGAAATTGGAAAATGGCCAGTCGTTCTCTTTTGTGTAAAGTAGTGGAAATTAGTTTGTAGTTAGTTTTTCTATTAAGATCCAGCTGAGGTGTCTTTTTTGTCCTTTCTTGATGAGATGTATAGTAGGAGGCAAAGGCATGTGCAGCCGGTTGCTGGCCAAAGTTTGTTATTTCATTTCGTGTATATATGTTGCTCTTTTGATTGTACTCAATTAAATGAAAGGCAGATAAAAATGTGCAGTGCTTCTTCTTCTTCTTTTGCATTTCTTTCATTACATTTCTGCTAAATCCTTCTTTACATGGTATCAGAGGAGATCCGAGAACTAA